GAAGAAATACTTCCTAACATCCCTTTGACTCATCTGAGTCTTCAGCTTCCAATTGTGACCCCTTGTTTCTGTTCCATCTCTGGAATATCCTGTCTCTGTCCACCTTGTCTATTCCACGCAGTATTTTGTATGTCGTTATCATGTCTCCCCTGACTTTCCTGTCCTAAAGTGTCGTCAGACCGATTTCCCTTCGTAGGACATTTCCCTTAGCTCTGGAACCAGCCTTATTGCAAACCTTTGCACTTTCTCTAATTTCTTGACGTGTTTGACTAGGTGTGGGTTCCAAACTGGTGCTGCGTACTCCAGTATGGGCCTGACGTACACAGTGCATAAAGTCTTGAACGATTCCTTACTCAGGTACCGGAACGCTATTCTCAGGTTTGCTAGGCGCCCATATGCCGCAACAGTTATCCGATTAATGTGTGCTTCTGACTACGTACTCGGTATTATACTCACCCCAAGATCTTTCTCCTTGAGTGAGGTTTGCAGTTTTTGGCCGCCTAGCCTATACTCTGTATGTCGTTTTCTTTCCCCTTCTCCGATCTTCATGACTTTGCATTTGGCGGGGTTAAATTCTAGGAGCCAGTTGCTGGACCACTCGTCCAGTTTGCCCAGGTCTCTTTGTAGACTTGTCTGGTCCGCGTCTGATTTAATTCTCCTCATTAACTTCACATCATCTGCAAACAGGGACACTTCTGAATCTATCCCTTCCGTCATGTTCACATATACCAAGAATAGCACTGGTCCCAGGACTGACCCCTGTGGGACCCCGCTCGTCACAGGCGCCCACTGTGATACCTCATCACGGACCATGACTCGCTGTTGCCTCCCTGTTAGGTATTCTCTGATCCATTGCAGTGCCCTTCCTGTAATATGTGCCTGATCCTCTAGTTTCTGTACTAATCTATTGTGAGGAACTGTGTCGAAGGCCTTCTTGCAGTCCAAGAAAATGCAATCAATCCACCCCTCCCTCTCATTTTTTACTTCAGTTATCTCGTCATAAAACTCTAGTAAGTGTGTAACACAGGATTTGCCTTCCATGAATTCATGCTGGCTGTCGTTTATAACCTTGTTCTGCTCCAGGTGCTTCACCACTCTCCTCCTGATAATCTTGTCTCCTTTCTTAAAGATGGGGACTACATTTGCCATCTTCCATACCTCAGGTAACTGCCCAGTTTCAAGGGATGTGTTGAAGATTGTGGTTAGTGGTACACACAGTGTCTCTGCTCCCTCTCTAAGGACCCATGGAGAGATGTCCGGTCCCACAGCCTTTGAGGTATCAAGGTCACTTAGGAGCTTCTTCACCTCCTGCTCAATTGTGTGTATTTCATCCAAAACTTGTTGGTATATCCCTTGTTGGCGTACCCCATTGTTTTGTCTTCCCAGTGTCCCTTCAGCCTGATCTGTATATACTTCCTGAAATCTCATGTTGAGCTCCTCACATACTCCTTGGTCATTTCTTGTGAGCTCTCCACCTTTCCTCAGTCTGATTACCTAGTCCTTAACTGTTGTTCTCCTCCTGATGTGGCTGTAGAGTAGTTTCGGGTCAGACTTGACTTTCGATGCTATGTCGTTTTCGTATTGTCGCTGGGCCTCCCTCCTTATCTGTGCATATTCGTTTCTGCCTCTTCGACTAATCTCTTTATTTTCCTGAGTCCTTTGCCTTCTGTACTTTTCCCATTCTCTAGTGCACTTAGTTTTTGCCTCCCTACATCTACGGGTAAATCAAGGGCTCGTTCTGTTCTTCCCATTATTTCTGTTACCCTTGGGAACAAACCTTTCCTCTGCCTCCTTGCATTTTGTTGTTACATAGCCCCATCATTGCGTTTACTGACTTTCCTACCAACACTCTTTTCCCCTGAACCTCCTGTAGGAAGGTCCTCATACCTGTGTAGTCCCCCTTTTTATAGTTTGGCTTTTCCTTTTCTACTCTTGTTACCCTCTCCATTTGTAGCTCTACAGTGTATTCAAAGCTCAGAACCACGTGGTCACTAGCTCCAAGGGGCCTTTCATATGTGATGTCATCAATGTCTGAGCTACTCAAGGTGAACACAAGGTCCAGTCTTGCTGGTTCATCCTCCCCTTTCTCTCTTGTAGTGTCCCTAACATGTTGGTGCATGAGGTTTTCCAGTACATCCATCATCTTGGCTCTCCATGTTTTGGGATCCCCATGTGGCTCCAGGTTTTCCCAATCAATCTCCCTGTGGTTGAAGTTGTGGGTGTGTGTGTGTACTCGCCTATTTGTGGTTGCAGGGATCGAGTCATAGCTCCTGGCCCCGCCTCTTCACTGTTTGCTACTAGGTTCTCTCTCTCCCTGCTCCATGAGCTTTTTCAAACCTCGCCTTAAAACAATGTATGGTTCCTGCCTCCACTACGTCACTTTCTAGGCTATTCCACTGCCTGACAACTCTATGACTGAAGAAATACTTCCTAACATCCCTTTGACTCATTTGAGTCTTCAACTTCCATTATGACCCCTTGTTTCTGTGTCCCATCTCTGGAACATCCTGTCTTTGTCCACCTTGTCTATTCCGTGCAGTATTTTATATGTCATTATCATGTCTCCCATGACCCTCCTGTCCTCCAGTGTCGTCAGGCCAATTTCCCTTAACCTTTCTTCGTAGGACAATCCCCTTAGCTCTGGGACTAGTCTTGTTGCAAACAAGACTAGTCCCTTGACGTGCTTGGTCAGGTGTGGATTCCAAACTGGTGCTGCATACTCCAGTAGGGGCCTGACGTATATGGTGTACAGAGTCTTGAACGATTCCTCACTGAGGCATCCGAACGCTATCCTTAGGTTTGCCCGACGCCCGTACGCTGAAGCAGGGCACTGATTGATGTGCGCCTCAGATGTACTTGGTATTATACTCACCCCAAGATCTTTTTCCTCAGTGAGGTTTGCAGTCTTTGGCCACCTAAACTATACTGTGTCTGCGATCTTCTTTGCCCTTCCCCGATCTTCATGACTTTGCATTTGGCGGGGTTAAATTCAAGGAGCCAGTTCCTGACCAGGCTTGTAGCCTGTCCAAATCCTCGACCGATTTGATTCTCTTCATTAACTTCACATCATCTGCAAACAAGGACACTTCTGAGTCTATCCCTTCCGTTATGTCATTCACATATACCAAAAACAGCATTGGCCTTAGGATTGACCCCTGTGGAACCTCGCTTGTCACAGGCGCCCACTCTGACACCTCGTCACGTACTATGACTCGTTGTTGCCTCCCTGTCAGGTATTCTGTGATCCATTGCAGTGCCTTTCCTGTTGTGTGTACCTGATCCTCTAGCTTATGCATTAACCTCTTGTGAGGAACTGTGTCGAAGGCCTTCTTGCAGTCCAAGAAAATGGAGTCTATCCACCCCTCTCTCTCTCTTGTCTTACTTCTGTCACCTTGTCATAAAACTCCAGTAGGGTTGTGACACAGGATTTTCCTTCCCTGAAACCGTGCTGGTTGTGTGTGGGGGGGGGGAGAAAGAGAGAGAGAGACGCCACTGCCCCTGAAGCAACACTCTAAACTAAACTGCTTCAAGTCACGTTTATATATTAACTTTCCACTTATCAACAAGGATGAGTTACTTCATTCTATCTCTTCTTTATTACTAACTACATCTCTCCTGTAAATTCATCTTAAACGTTCCGTCTGAACATAAGGCAAAACTTAAACATGTATAAATTTTATAAATTATAGTATCTAAATTCCTATTTCATTAGCTTAAAATGCAGACAGAAAAAACATCTTCGGTAATACAACAGACAGTTCGTGGGCTTAACTTCAACATCTTATAATTTTATGACATTTAGTTAGTTATAAATTTAATTTCGTATACGGATCTACTATTACTGTATTCTGTGGTGCCGACTGAGTGGAGAAGACAGTACATCAACATTGTATGTACACTAAGATATATACAGGGTCAAAATTAAACGCGCTACAGATGGATCACTTAGTATTTAAGTGACAAAGTAGTGCTGAAAGTTTTAAGCAATGGCTTTGAAGCTCATGTAGAAGTAATGTGAGGCAGTAGTGCCATTCTGGGTGATTTATTGCGCTACAGGAAGGCTGCCTCCAGTCAAACACTTAACACTTTTTTGATGTAAAAGTATACAGGGTCATTAGACTACAGGTGGATGATAAAAGCTGGGTCATATATGGGTCACCGTGATACGACAGGTTTAAAAGAAGACTCAAATGGGAAGTTTACGATGGTAAAGCAGCATAATGAAGGAGTTGCAGCTTGGCAGTACCAGTGTGTGAGGAACCACAGTGACAGTGATAACAGCTCTCAACAACTCCACCTTCATCTAAAACAATGGAGAAAGAGCCAGTCTGAGATCATTCATAGACAAGGGGGACAGAGGCAGGGGGAATAAAGTGATTAATGTGACAGAGCTGAAAGCCACACTAAGATAACAGAAGGCCAGTAGGGAAATAAATGAAGACACAGAAGAAAATAAGAGAACCACAAAGGTAAGATAGTCCCTGAAATGTGACACAAGGGTGAGAACAACTTTAGGGCGATACAGTATTGAAAGTTAACAATAGCATAATAGCAAAAGCCACTTTACATGACTCGAAGGTTAGAGAACCAATCTAGGGTGATAAAAGGGTCAGTGTGGTAACAAGAATGAAGTCACTCTAGGAGCACATACAAGCCAGAAAGACACGAGGCTGACATAAGAGAAGAAAAGCCACTCAGAGGTGACATGTGACAGGGACAGCCATTAAAGGATGGCCACAGATGTAAACAGCCCAGGAGGGCAACATACGTGTAAACGAGCCATGCGTTGCTGACAGCTTGAAAATGAACCATATCAGGGTGGCACAACAGTGGAGGAACCATGCTAGGAGTGACATAATAACAGTGTGACATTGTTGAATGACACAAGGGTGAGGGGCGGCCAGTGTAGGGCTTGAACAAGGGTGAGAGGGAGCGATAAAAGGGTGACTAAGGGACACTAGAGGGTGAGTAGGCTGACAAGAGGACAAGCAGTACGGTACCCTGAACGTAGAAGAGATTCCAGCTGGTAATCGTTGAGACGGCGTCGTTTCCCCTGACTGTCTCGATGCAACCTTACCAGAGGGGGTGGGATGGGGGGTTAGTACCAGGCGTCAGTACTGTGCATTAGTACCAGCTGATAGTATTAGGCATCAGTACTAACTACAAGAACTAAGCACCAGTACTAAATCTTTAGTACCGGGTGCCAGTACAAGCTGTTAATACCAGTCACCTTTATTAAGAAATATTACGAAATATTGTATCAGCATTTGAAATATGTACTGGTACCAAACTTTAGTACTAAGCATTAGTACCAAGTATCAGTATCATCAGTACCAGTCATCAATAATAGGCTTTAGTGCCAGATGTTAGTACAGTAATAAGCATTAGTAATCAGACGTCAGTATTCTGCGTTAGTATCAAACATCAACGCCAAGCATTAGTGCCAGCGTTAATACTAATGTTAGCGGCGGTACCAGTGCTAGTATACACATCACTAGTGACACCACTGACAGCACCAGTACTAGTACAAACATCAGTACTGACACCAACAATAGTTCACTACCAACATGTACCAAGGCTCAAGTAATAACTGTCAACACTAATAATTAATCAGATCACAAAAAAACTTCTACAAGACACTTGAAGGGTTCCAGCCTTCACTTGTAATATAAACAAAGCCTTAAATACTATTACATATAATTTAGTAGTAGATTTATTTCCTTTACCCCTCACCATAAACATTATGACACTAACGGGTGAAATTCTATGATTGGTTTAGGGAATCCTGGACAGCTCCTCGTCCTCCCACCACACGTGCTTTTTCCAACGTTTCTCACAATTGTTAAAGTTACATTCTAGTTCACGCATTTGTTTTACAGTTTTGGTTTCTCACGGTGAAACTGTGTATATTCAGATTAACGTTAACCTAACCTAGTCGAACCTTAGATAAGTAAGGAGGGGAGAGTAGATCTTGTTGTGACCGAACGTGCAAAGATCCTGTTTAGATCGTGCAGAGAAACAAACGCAATGACATACGTTAGACAACAAGCTTGTCTTGCAGCCGACGTTAGTTAGCACTTTCAAATAAATGATAAATCCCCTGGTGGGCGAGACGTTTTCACTACAATTACCTCACGTTGTATATATATCTGTTAAACAGGTGGATTATTTGGTTTGATAATTATTAATGCTAAATTCGAGAAAGTCTATCTCATTAAAGGCTATTATATGTCTGCCTTGAGAACAAAAGCTCTACCTGACATCGAAAGGATAATCCCCTCTTTATGAGGTTAATTAAATAGTGACTTGTAGATTATGCAGACATCTTCCAGAGTGTGATGACAGGGAGGTCAAGTGAAGGAGTAGTTCCAACCATCAACTTGAATATATCTTAAAAGATATACATAAATCTTTCTTCGGAATTTGCACTGAAGAATTCTGAGTTTCTTTCAATGTCATTAATGCTCTATGCTTCCTGGGCATGTTACAAATAAGCCGCACTTAGAAAAAGAACCTTATAACGAAGTTTCGGTCGGTCCTGGACCACTATAAAGTTACAACTGACTTGACAAGATGGAACAAAACGTCAACATACACTTAATTTCCCAGGTGCGGCTTGTTGTAAATTGTTCCAGACACGGTATTGCGATATATTACTGTTTCAGGTAGCCTGGTTGACCAGAACAACCCGGCCCATGGCAGGTCTCCACAAGTAACACTCTCGAAACTCATCAAAGGTATTGTGCTATTTTGTTAATTTTAGCTCACTCATTTGCAGTTCTTTAACCAGTGTTTACTCTTACGAAATTCTTTGAGTTTTTCATTCCTTCGCCTGTCGAGGAAGCATCACTCTCCTCCCTATGTACATCATCTCTGGTTATTTTTTTTGTTGTATAAATCTAGAGTAGGTTTCCAATGCTAGGATACTCACCTTCTGATGATGATGGTTTACCTTCATCTTATACTATATTCCAGCATATTGATCAGTAAGATGTTCATGTTTTATTTTGTTCACATTTAATACGTTTACTGATAAAACTGAATTGGTTGAATCTACTCTAGTGACAATCTGTGTTAGGTTGCCCAGGTTGGGTCTCTGTTTCAGTTACGGTGAGGTAGGTTTGAAGTACCCATCACCGTCATCTATCTTATTACATAACACCCACTTATGAATACGGTAATTCGCTGTCTTAAAGCAAATTAACCAACTTTACTAATTCGTGTTAATGTGACTGTTCATCTGCACAGCCTCTTGGGACTTTCTCTGCTCTCAATCTTTACTAAGTTAATGTATTTTAAGAGATGTTAATTACAATCAGCAAGCTGGTGTTCGGGGCCGGGGTAGAGGAGAGAGATGACGGTTGTCAAGGCAGAGTTACAATGGTGTCAGTCAAGTGAAGAAATATATTCGTTCGTAAGATCTAAATAGAATATTACTAAACATGTTTACAAAAAACTGAAAATATTATTAAGGACTGATTACATTTGCGAATTTCAACA